AGAAGAAGAAGAAAAAGAAGAAGAAGAAGAAGAAGAAGAAGAAGAAGAAGAAGAAGAAGAAGAAGAAGAAGAAGAAGAAGAAGAAGAAGAAGAAGAAGAAGAAGAAGAAGAAGAAGAAGAAGAAGAAGAAGAAGAAGAAGAAGAAGAAGAAGAAGAAGAAGAAGAAGAAGAAGAAGAAGAAGAAGAAGAAGAAGAAATCTGCAGAGAGGGCAAAACTTTCATTAGACTAAAAAACAATAACTATATATTTATGGCTGATTGGGAACCCTTTGTATTTTGTGTGAAACAGGGGGAAAAAGCAAAAGCAATCATGATTTGTGGTTTTGATGCTCAGAAAAAACTGGATAACAGAAAAAACTGAGCAAATAAATTGGAAAATTCTTTCTAATTCTTTCTGTCTCTCTTTCTGCACTTTTCCTTTTCTTCTTTCTTTCTTTGCTTTTTTTTTAATCTTTATTAGTTTGTATTAGGGTTTTTGTTTTTTGAAAAACATTTATATCTAAACACATATACACATAGGAATTGATTGCTTCTGAAATATATTATAGGCTGCTAAATGGTTTAATTCAATTAACTGAAGACAGCTAGCCTACCTTTGACACTTTGGGCATCTCGAAGTAAATCCATGACTTCTCTTTCAACTTCTTTCAGTCTGTCTTCAAAAGCCTGGTCAGTTATAATGTCATCACCTGTTCCTATGTTAGCTATAAGATTTTCCAGATCGCGCAGCCTCCCCCGTTGCTCCTCAACCTGAACAAATGAGACAACAGGGAACAACAAATCGATAAGACAACTACACAGCTTTAGAAGGCTCCAGATAAAAAAAAGGATGAACAAAAAGATGTTGAAAATATGCAAAGTGGTTCAGGGAAGAATATACAGATTCCTGGAGCTGTTAGAATTGAGACTGATGTAGCTTTTGTATTATTCCTGTTGCTGCTGTTGCTTTTAAGTAGGCAACATTATATTTTTTGCCAGTAGAACATTTCTGTGCCAAGCACAAACACATATCCTATTAATTTTCCCCATTATAAAAATAGGCAACCTCTAAATTGGCAAAATTAGCTATAAACTGGCAAATTTTGTTATCGGTATGACCTTATCTTTCACCAATCTGTAACATGCAGGACATTCTTGACAACCAGGCCAGGATCGATTGTAGAAGTAGTTTTCTTCACACTGGTCACAGCGGATTCCCACAAAGCCTTCTCTGCACTCACAATGACCGTCTTCTTTGCACTGAAGGGAACGGGAACCTTCCGGGTTACAGTCACAAGCTGAGGGAACACAAGGCATTTAAATAACGATTAGGGAAGAGGCACACGAAAAAAGAACAGTGTGAAAAATCTTTAATCTTGGGATATCTAGAAGACCAATGAATTAACCTCTTTCAAACGTCAATGGATTGGTGCTACTAGTACACCGTGGCCTTTAGCTACTAGGAAAATCTTTGCATTGCTCACTTTTACCTGTTAAATGGGAGCCAGAAATTGTACATATAGTACAGGTAGCCCTCAATTTACAACAGTTCATTTAGTCACTGTTCAAAGTTACAACAGCAGTGAAAAGGTGACTTATGACCATTTTTTCACACTTACAACCATTACTGCCTCTCCATGATCACATGGTCAAAATTCAGATGTTTGGCAACTAACTCATATTTATGACAGTTGCAGTGTCCTGGGGTCATGTGATTACCTTTTGCGACATTCTGACAAGCAAAGCCAGATTCCTTTAACAATCATGTCACTGACTTAAGAACTGCAGGGGTTCACTTAACGACTGTGGCAAGGAAAGTCATAAAATGGGGCAAAATTCACTTAACAAATGTCTCGCTTAGCAACAGAAATTTTGGACTCAATTGAAGTCAGAAGTCGAGGACTACCTATTTATGGAAGGTTCCAGCTCTTCTGAAAGACAAAGTGGAACAAGGAAAGACTCTCTGATGTTGTTGTTGTGAACACAGCTTTCTGAAGCAACAATGATAGAAAGCAGTCTTTAAGTGAATCACCGCAGTTGATAAGTTAGTAACCCAGTTGTTAAGTGAATCTGACTTCCTCACTGATTTTGCTTGTCAAATCACCTGACCTAAGTATGAGTCAGTTGTCAAGCATCTGAATTTTGATCACATGATCTTGGGGATGCTACAAAGTTCGTAAGTGTGGAAAACGGTCACAAGTCATTTTTTTTCAGTGCCATTGTTACTTTGAACGGCCACTAAATGAACTGTTGTAAGTGGAGGACTACCTGTACTCACATGAAGGGGAGGTTTATTATATTATCCTGCCCAAAAACAGCTTTGGGACAGGAACTCCCAAAATTTCCATCCAGACTAGTTTGCTAGTTTGGACTTTGTAGCAGTTGCTGTCCTAAAACATCTTGCGGAAATACAGTTGAAGAAGTCTTCCGTATGACATGCCAAGAAAATAACAAGCAGTGAGGGATCCTGTCTAACCCTGGTGGCTCATTTTTTTATCCTGTCTGATTCACCATTCTATCATGAATATAGACTTACCATGTGTTACTTTACTATTAAAAAACAATGATGCAGCAAATGTATCTGTAAATAGTCTGATTCAATGCGTCATACCTGTCCCACCTAGCCTCAGTTAGGGCGTGCCTCTCAGTGATTTTCAAACATATCTACATCTCTATCTATATATCTGGTAGTCAGACATGCAAGATTCATAATCGTTTTGCACCTTTAAGGCACTGCGTTTGAAGAAATTTAACAAACTGAGCTACTTATACAGATAGTCCTCGACTTACAACCACCACTGAGTCCAAAATTTCTCTTGCTAAGTGAGACAGTTGTTAACCGAGTTTTGCCCCATTTGATGACCTTTCTTGCCACAGTTGTTAAGCGAATTGCTGAAGTTGTTAGATCAGTCACACGGTTGTTAAGTGAATCAGGCTTCCCCACTGATATTGCTGGTCAGACGTTCGCAAAAGGGGATCACATGACCCTGGGACGTTGCAACCGTCGTAAATATGAACCACTTGCCAAGCATCTGAATGTAAATCACGTGTGAAAAATGGTCATAAGATCCCTTTTTTTAGTGCCAAGCAAAGTCAATAGGGAAGCCAGATTTGCTTAACAACGTCATTCACTTAACAACAGCAGTGATTTGCTGAACAACTATGGCATAAAACTCAGTTAACAACTGCCTTGCTTAGCAATGGAAATTCTGGGCTCAATTATGGTCTGACAAAAGCAAATGTTTGCTCTACATTTTTGTCGTATAAAATAATGTTCACATTCAAAGTTATATTTGTTATTGCTGTAATTTATAGTATTGGTCCAAATACCAGTTCCACT